TTTGGTGTACATGATCATGTAGCTACAGTGCCATTACAAGAACGTAAGCCGATCAATTCTGAATGGTATACAAATATTTATTTGCCAGAAATTTTCAGTGAAATTCGAAAAAAGAATAACAGACGAATCATTTTTCACCAGTACAATGAAAGCTCACTGGCACACACACAATGAAGTTTTTGACCGGCCAAAAGATCAAATTAACGGGTTATCCGCTGTACAGTACTAATTTGACACTCAATGACTTATTGTTCCCGGACATCAAAAATAATTTGCGTGGTCAACGATTTTCGACGTCCGAAGAAGCGGTTGAAGTCCGAAAAGCAATAAATCCACTTTCGACCATAAATAATTGTTTTTTCATTGTTAGACCAGAAATATAAATAGCAACCTCTCGTATGGAAAGTACCTAAAATACCCATAATCAATTACATTCATTCCTGTGAAATTAAACTCGGTAAAGAATTTGGAATATACATAAAAAAGGTAGCAAAGAAAATTGTGAAAATTACCGGGGGATAGCAGTCACAAGCTCATTAAGAGAGGTACATGAAATAATATTGAAAAATAGAATCGAATGAGAATGCAAAGATATAAAAGCCAAAAAGAAAGCAGGTTTTAGAGCCGGAAGATAAAGACAACTAATAGAAAAAAAACCGCTAGGACCAAAGAGGTATACTTACTGTAAGTAGTTACCTTAAACAAGCAAATAAGTGTCTTCATTAAAAGACGAGTTAAAATGGGGAATAAACTCTCAGACAACATCAAGGTAATCAAAGGACTAAACCAGGGTTTTTATATCTCACCAACGCTTTTTAAAATTTACTTTGAACAGGCATTAAATATATCTTCTTTTTCTAGTGCCGACTCCACTAATGAAACATTGCAAAATCGTCTCTACCGTCTGCTTTTCTTAAAAGCGTCTGTATGTTTAACCCGGTCCAGTTGCGAATAATTTTCAGCCAGGATATTTTTCGTCTACCAGGACATTTTTTGCTTTAATTTTACCTTCTATAATCAGGTGCAACAACTCGTACTTCTAATTTCGTATATGCCCCAAATATGCTGTCTTTCTCGTTTTAATGATGGTCAGAAGTTCTCTGTTTATTCCCATTATGTGCAACACTATTTCATTTGTAATATGATCGGTCTATGGTATTTTCGAATTTTTTCTAAAAAGCCATAAGTCAACATTAACAGTCCAAGCTTCGGAACTATAAAGAATAGAGTGGATATAACATTTTACAATCTGATATCGGATTTGCAGACTGGGTGTTTGGTTACTCATAAATGTCCTTCAAAAAGGCTTGCTCTTGATTACGCTATTCTTGATCGAATTTCTGATTTCGGATTTAGATTTTCAGTAATCCTGACTTCTAAATACTTCATTTTATTGACTTGTTCAATATCTTCATTTTTTTATCTGGATTCTTGTTATGACTATAGCCCTTATACTGATAACCATGTTTTTTGTTTTTTTTGTATGTTTATTCTTACACCCAACTGTTCACCAATATCACAAATTGTGTTCAGTAGCGGTCTTTCTCACTTTCAGCGATAATGACTGTATTGTCGGCATAACCAATGCTATTTATATTTTCACCATTTATATTGATCCCTTCTGTAGAGTTTTCAAGAACCTGTGTAATTAACGCTTCGGAGTGTATGTTAATTAGTAATGGTGAAAGTATACAGCCTTGTCTCAAACCTCTACTTATCTGTTGCGCATCCATATTATTTCCATCTAATATTACCACAGCCTGTTGGTTCAAATACAGAATTTTTACTATGTTAATATCATTTTTGTCGAGTCCTTTTCGCTTTAGACATTCCATGAGAATGTTATGTTAAACTTTGTCGAAAGTTTTCTCATAGTCTCTAAATACAACGAAAAGATCTTTTTGTTGGTCTGGATATTTACTCATATCCGCTTCACACTTTCTGAATATTCTTGCATATAATCTTGCATTCTTGTATAATCTTTCAAAATGTTTTTAATTATGACATTAAACTGATTAATCTATAGTCACTACAGTGTATGAGATTCTTGGTTTTTGGTAGCGGAACATTTTGGATAGTAGCCATTCTGTAGGTATCCTATCAGATTTTTATATGTTGTTAAAGAGGATATTTATTGCGGTGAAATTGTTTTCATCTAGTTTTTTCAGCTCGATGTGAACTTTATCTGGCTCAAGGGCTCTGTCAGGTTTTGAGTTGTTTATAGTAGGTTGGACTTTGGATTTTAATATTATTCGAGCTTACTCGCTATCAATTTGAGTTGGTTCCGTTTTTGTGTCCAGGAAAAGATCTTTAACATCTTTAATCCATCCTTGTTTTATCAGAATTGGGTTATTAATAGGTTTATTGTTTTTGTCAATTAATAGGTTAGGTGTGTTTGTTCGTCATTTTCCATATAATTCTCTGACTTTTTTATGTAAATTATAATCATCATATTTTCTGGCAATTCCTTTATTTCAATGCATGTTTCCATCAACCTTTTACCTTATTTTTTTTTATTTATTATACCTTATTTTACGTATTGTCAGATTCCAGAAAGAGCCTAAAAAGCTATCCATTGAATTCTGACAGGCAACGGTGGGGGAAATCTTTTTTGGGCCTCTACGTCACGGAACAGGACACCCTGGTATCTTTCGACCGAGTGGGATACTAAGCCAGAAGACTCCAGGGTAGTGCCGGATTAATCGTGTTCCGGCTAAAACCTTAACCACCGTTCCAGAGAGGTGGTCTTGCCATTCAATAAACAACTAAATTAAAAATTTAAAAATTTATATATAACCATACCTATTACCTTAAATCAGAAACTGTTTAGACGTTAGGATATAAACTGTCCGGTCAGAAACTGTGTCAGGAAGTAGTCTAGTTTCTTGAACTTACATTCTCACCACGGCCTCAGATCGGAAATAAGCTCCTTCGTCCACCTCTTCTATCATTTGCTCATTCTCTCTGCCACTCTACTATCAGTATTTCTCTTTCTTTCTCATGTATATTTACATCCATCCCCCTCGCATAATCCTTGCTCGCTCTTTACACAACAAAACGATCGGTATCACCGATCCAATGACATATAGAGCCTCATTCGAGACTTCATATTGCATTCATATACACTAGACACACTAGTGCATTCATATGCACTAGAAACCCTGAGGAGCATTCGCCTTTGCGAAGTCTCAATCAGCTTAGCGTATTTCGCAGTTTTTAGTACACTACATCACACAGGGGCAGCGTAGATTACTACCGACTGGAAAACTCCATTTAACACCTTTCTTTTGGTGCTTCCTGGGCCTCCCATGTTTGGCATCAACCGTATCAACGCTTCCAGATTTCGGTTCGCGTTCTCTATTGTCTTTTGGATGTATACTCCCAACCTTGGACCTTCCGACAACCAGACTCCCAGATATTTAATTGATATAACCGGTGCAACCTCCACACCTTCCACTATAAAGCGAAGAGGTCCCGGGTCCCTTTTAGGAACCAACACCTTAGTTTTCTGAGGCGCTAGCTGTAGATCGTTCTCTTTGATCCAACTACTAATGCGACGCAGGGCTGTATTAGCCGCATTAGCCATGTCCGTTTTCTGACTCGCCTTCGCAACCAGTGGGAGATCATCAGCATAAGCTACAAGAGTGCATCCCCTTGGTATCTGAAGCCTCAACACCCCGTCGTACAGGACATTACAAAGGAGCCTTTGTAATGCCTTTTTTAAAGGAGCCTTTCAGTACCTAGTACTGAACCCTGTGGAACACCCTGCGACAAACTGATGCTGGTATCTTTTTCTCTTATGAACCTATCAGTGAAGTATCTGTCAATTACGTTGACCAGGTATTCACTAACGCCCAATTCTCTAAGCCTGGACATGATTGTTTCCCATGATGCCGTATTAAAGGCATTCTTGACATCGAGCAGGATGAAAGTCACCCCTCTCTTTGTATCCTGCGTAACTAAAGAGGTTACTAAACTACTTTACCTTAGTCTCTTTTATTTTGTTCCTTACTAATTTTTGTTTTTCCCTTTATTTATGGGGTTTTATTTCTAAATTTTATTCTTTGTTTCATGAGTTCCAGTATTTATTGAGTCATTCAAGGTTTTCGGCTTTCTTTTTTCTTTTGTAGAGTTTTGTTCTATTTCGTTATAACAGAATTTTAGATTTTGATCCACGTAATATTCATATTCTCAGTGTTTTTCATTTCTATAGCGGTAGTGATGGCACAGGACCTCGATGATCTAGAATACAACAAGCAAACTCGTAGAAGAATACAATAAATAGGGTCTAGAAGTAAACGTAAATAAAACAGAAACTATATGCATAGGAGGCGTAAACAGGACATAATATTACAAAGTGGAGTCCAAAAACACGTCAGTCCTTGTGAAAACTATAAATATCCACGGTTATATATTACGAATAATAGCAACATCAATACTAAATGGGGTCCTTTGGGATATCGCAAGCCAATAAACAAAAAATATTTTACACCATATAAATCCGGAGCATTATAACCTATGGAAGTGAAGTCTGGTAAATAAAAATTAGAACAGAATACATGCTAAAAGCTTTAGAACTGGACTTTTGGCGAAAATCCGCAGGAGAGTCCACAGGAGAGAACAAATAACAAATGGCCATACCAAAGCAATAATAAAAATAGATCACAAAACTGTAGATAGTACCAGGACAAAACAACTTATAGGCATCGTCATGTACAGAGTATGGCAGAAGATAAACGGTTTAACAATATGTTTTTAGTATAACCCAAGCACAGAAAAATATAAAGACAGAGATAAAGATGATAATACTAATTATAATTTTCGGAGGTGTAATATATTATCATCATTAATTATTGCACAATTTAATCAATATCTTCTTTGTGTATATAGAGAGTGAGGCGTCTCTGTAATCCAACAATTGCGAAAGATTTTTATTCTAGTCGATAGTGACGCTGGTTTAATCTGTGTACATAAATATATAAAAGAACTAAAAATGTCGCAGATATATCTATAATCTTAAATAGTTTACAATAACTTTTAACAGACATACAAAAATTTTTCTATAGCGGTTCCATACAAACAATTAAATAGTTTCCAAGTATTTTCAGCCCATTTTGTCTAAAATGAAAATTTTTGTTTTATTATTATTCGTGTGTACCACAGGGTAAGTTTTTGCTTTTATCTTACTAATATTTGTATATTATTATGAATAGTTTATTACTATTTAGCATGGCTTTACATCTCTTTATCAAGAGTGTTTTTAAAAAATTTTCTTAATCTAGCATCTGTCATCATTTTAAATTTTCAACTACTGTGTTATATGTTATGGTAGTTGCCTTGGATGTCTTTTGGCCACTCTGCAAGATTCCTTGCCAAGTATAGGCTTGGCACAAGAATCGATTTATACCTACATCTTTTCATGTAAATAAGTCATTAAAAGGTTCACGATGAAGAGACAGGATATATTTTTTCCTCCAATTTATGATTTTATCTTCTTGTACCAATTTTCTATTAGACGGTAAATCCAGATCTTCCTTTTTTTATTTTTCGTAATAACTTGTTTAGCTGCTTTATTTTTTATTTCACATTAATCATAGATAATCCAGCTACACTATTTTGTATTATTTTATTTCTGTCCTTTTTCTTTATTCTAAATGAGCAACAAGATCTTTTTCAAATGTCTTTTTTATATAAACATATAAACATTTAGACATCCTTTTTTCCAATTTGCCAACAATTACATCCAAGACTGGAAATGTGATTAGAGAAATATGGAAGAGAAAGAGTCGTATAATTTACTCGATTGAAATCGAAACAAAATTAAATAGGAACAGTCGAACTCGACTATGAGAAGAATATGGACTGAAGAATTATGGATTTCGACAGAAATAGAATACTAAATAACAAAAAAATTGACTCTACATCTAAGACGACATCTACTTAGTTTAAATTATGCAGCAAGAATATCTTCCAATAAAAAGCACCCATTATATTCTGATATTATTAACGCACCTACATTAAATTGGTATAGAAACAAACAATATAAAGACAAACCCTTTAGGAAAAGAATTAATTAAAAAGGATTTAATTGCAATGAGTTCAAATTATCCATAACCACAAAATTAGACTTCCCTCCGTGGCTTACCCCCTTACCTATCACCGCCTTCACAAATAAGAATTACAAATATTATGCCATTAGAATTCCACAGCACTGTAGCACAGAATAATGAACAATCAGAATGCCCACTCTCAATGGAAAATTAAGTACGCGCATCTCCTACACGCAGACGTTCCGCCATGTTTTAGAGGGAACCAGTGTTGTTTATGTGGTGTGTATAGACAAAATTAACCCGGTTTAATTGACTTACGGCAATCATAGATATACTATACAATTATATTAACATTGTTAAATATAATAACATAAATATAATAGAATTAAACATAAATATAAACAATTACATAACCTCACAACGCATATGTCTGTGTTATGTGTTTCCTTCTAAAACATGGCGCGAGTGCTGAAAAACTTCAAAGGCGGCACCTGAGAGTGGACATTCTGATTGTAGCATTTACACCGGGGAAACCACAGCGATATTAGGGAGTTAAAGCGCAGGGCAAAACGTTAACGTTAACGTATAATTTGACAGCTACTCCTGCGCAGTAGAGGAATACACACGTTTGCGTTAACGGGTCTCCGTAACCTTGCGTGCGTTTACGAATTCCCTTAACGTTATCCAAATTGTTCCGAGTATTACCGAATGTCTGTCAAATCTAGGAAAATTAAAACTTTTTAGTTGTTTTGCGATTTTAACCAAAGATTTATCTTTTATTTGTGTTATTGTAACCTAAAAATAGTGAAAAAATCGTAATGTATAAAAAGTAAGGTTAGAAACGCACGTTAGACCTTAACGTTTTACACTTCACAGTTAAAACGTATAGTTGCCGTAAACATAATTTCTTTACGTTTACGTTACTGTTAACGTTTACGTGTTGCCTGTACTTTAACTCTCTATTAGAGAGTTTGTAAGCCACTTATTTCAGTAACGTTAAACGTTATACGTTATTTTGCTCATGCGCATTAACAGAAAAATAACGGATAACTTTATTAGCGGATAAGGTATTCCCTTATTTAGGTAAAGATAAGGTTAACTTTATTAAGGGATTACGTGTTTATAATGTTGTCTAATGCCAGATATCTAAATTATAAAAAACAAAATAAAAGTGATATGAGCAGAACCAAAGATAACTAGAATAAAAATTATAGTAATGATGTTTAAAATTCTAATCAAAATTCGTTTTTCTTAAATCGAAAATTTAGTTCAGCACCTTTTTCTTCAATTGTTTCCAACACAAAATGTGATCTTGGTGCAACATTTATTACAGGATCAAAAATATTATGAAGAATTAAGCCTCTTATCAAATTGTGATCTATTACTTCCCCGTATCTTTGTCGCCTTAATATATTTTCAATATTTTCTTACATTATAGCAAATAATTCAAATAAAATAGGTTATAGAGTATACTATAACTGCCGTTTTATAGGTTACGTTCGTCAAATGTCAATTAACGTTAATTTGTCATAGCTTAATTTCCGAAAGGATTCAAAAACTATTTTAAGTAAAAACGTTATCACTTATCACGGTTCGTAGACTTACTACGGTTACCTCTTCCGCCTAACCAATGAACATTAAGCCGGAACTGTACTCTCGTGACGTAATTTGAATCGTAATATTCTAACAATTATCTGACAATAACTAACGAATAGTTTAGTTCGCAGATTTACTTCCAGAATTAATTTACTTTGCGTTTATTATACGCAAATCTGTAGAGTAAATTATTTTACTTTCAAACTAAATTTTACTTGGCAAGTAAAACGTTTTATAATACAGGGCATAAAAGTGGTATAAACAAACCAGACAGCTGTTGATTTAAATAGAATTATTAAATTTTTTTAGTTAATTTCAGAATTATGACTACCTTAAAGTATTTGAAATCAAATCGATATTGTTCTGGCCCTCAATGCAATTCAAGATCGACAAAAGATATAAAAAACTTAATAAAAAGACTTAACTTAAACTTAAGAAAAAAATAATTTATTATGGAATTTTTTAAAGACTAATCATGTGCTGATATTTTCTGACAGGTGATCTCAAGTTAAGGTTGATTTCATGTAATCAAATGAACTATCTTACAATAAAGTCAAGGTAAAGTTATTTATTTATGTTAATTACAATAAAGTACTTACATATGTCAAAAAATAGCATAAAATAAAAATTAACATATTAAAAACATAAGGCATAATATAAAATAATGCATATATTAGTTAAGACAAACATTACACAGAATATTATATTCTGGTTTCCCAGGTATACACAAAATAGGATTCATCTTAATCAATACACAAGCAAGTTCGAAACAAAGTTAAAATTTAGGAATTCATCACTTGAAAACTGCTTCCTCTTCACCCAATGGACTCTTCGCTTCATCGCAATACTCAAAGATATCATTAAGCTTAATTTCCATTTTTAATTGATATAAATAACTCGTCTTAAATCAAACTAAACATGGAAAAGCAATGGTAAACATTCGACCGTTATGTTTGTTTTTGTTTATACCATTTATATTATCGGCCATGACACTGCAATCGACCTGCCCTCTACATTCAGTTTCAATCGCGAAAAAATGGGTTTTGTGTTCTTGTGTACTCTGGTGACGTAACTCAAGCATCCCCACCCCAGTCAGAAGAGGCAACCGTAGTAAGTCTACGAACCGTGTTCTCTTATTTATTATTCAAGGCGCATGATAAGTATAACGTTTTACGTTTAACGTTTATCAAAAAGTAAAGGGCCTAAAAACTCTTTATCAAAAACTCCTCTTCAACGACTGAAACTAATATTTTAATCATATCATCACAGATTCACTCAGCGGAATTTATGGAATAAATCAACTTTTCCCTAGACATCCTATTGCACAAAATATAAGAAATGAACTTAATGCACTATACCATATAAATAAAAAGGTTACATTTATCTAGATACCTTCACACATTGGCATTAAAGGCAACGAGGAACATTAAAATCCACCAGAAATCAGAATGTTCCAAAAATTACTAAATATCCCCACACAGACCATAAACGACAGTCCATGATCAATTTATGGCAATCAACCTGAGACGTAACAGACTCTAAGTTGAAAACAATAAAGCCTTGAGTAGACGCCAGCCTACCACAGCAAGGAAAAAGAAGAGATCAACCAATCGTCAATCGTATTCGAATCGGCCACACAATACTAAGACACCAACACCTTCTAAATAAAGAACCAGCTCCGATTTGTACCTACTGCTCTACTCAACTCACCGTGAAGCATCTGATACTCGAGTGTCCGCAGTTCCAACCTCAGAGAACATTCCGAGGAATTAGTGGAAACCTGAGAAGTGCGCTTATGACAAATATCTCGGATTTATTGCAGTTTCTAAAAGAGATAAACATTTATAAAAAAACTTTAGTTTATCAAACTGTACTACTGTATATGTCCCCCCACTAATAACCCTTGGTGGTTGATGTGGGTTCTCTATGTTTAAATAAAAAAAAAGAAAAATGAAATAGGAACCTCCAGGCAAAAGACGGAAAGAAAGACTAGCTATGAGATTGAGAACATTCACAGGGAACACGATTGTGGATAAAGATCTCCGAGAAGATGACTACGAGGATCAAAAGCTGTGAAACACATACGTTCTTCTTCGTAAAAGAAAAATTAAACTTCGTAATAACAAATATTATTGCAATATAATAACAAATATCTTGAGTGTAAGAATGAAGATTATTGAATTTGGAGTTGATAGGCTTCCTTTGTCTTCTATTTATAATCTTATGCCTTTTTTTAAAAGAAAGGTTACGAGTCTTGCAGCTTAGTACATAGGTCCTCTTTTACAGACTGGTGGAACCACTTAACAACAGAAGGTTTCCTGCTCATTTTATGATTGGAGCAGCAACAGCGTCCTATCAGGTGGAAGGTAAGTTTTTGTATAGAACTAAACTACCAAAAGTGCCCTATATAGAAAACAAATTGACTTCGCAAATAGCTTTCCTCAAAATCTCCTACATTAAAATTATATTATTATCCTTTTCTATATAAATTTACTAATCACGTGCCAGTTTTTTTGTTCATTAAGTTATACTATGGGCTAAAATAATAAACTTGGATTGTTTTAATCTTCTTTAATTTTTTCTGTCCAAAAATGTAATGCAGCAATTTTTTTCCATATTTTAGACAAACATGAACTTTTTAAACAAACGACGTTTTTCACTTTATTGGGATCTGAAGGAAGATATTATTCACGCTTAGGAATAATCTTCGACCTTATAGTTCCAGACAATAAAGCATGTCTATCTTTTCGCTTTATTTAAAAGACTTACTTCAGTCGATTAAGAAATTACTTCAATAAATTAAGCTTTTCTTCTATTGGATATAGGTGCATGGAATGAGGACGGAAAAGGAGAAAACATTTGGGATCGACTTACACACTCCCCCAACTCTCCAGTACTAGGAAACCAAAACGGAGACATAGCTTGCGATTCATACCACAAATATAAGGAAGATGTTGCAATGTTGAAACATCTCGGAGTCAACCACTACCGATTCTCCATATCATGGTCAAGGATTTTACCGACAGGATTCACGAATCGGATAAACCAAGCAGGAATAACGTACTACAAAAATCTGATAAAGGAACTGCAGGTTAACGGCATTGAACCGTTCGTTACTATGTTCCATTGGGATACTCCTCAACCATTACAAGATATAGGCGGGTGGACTAACGAATTAATCGTCGATAAATTCGCAGACTACGCTAAAGTACTTTTTGACAACTTTGGACATGACGTTAAGTACTGGGTAACTTTCAATGAGCCAAAACAGACGTGCCAAGAAGGATACGGTTCTGGATCGAAAGCACCTGCCATAAAATCGCATGGAATCGGAGAATACCTTTGTGCTCACAACATTATAAAGTCTCATGCTAAAGTATGGCACCTTTATGATAGGTATTACCGAAAGAAACAACAAGGAATGGTGGGAATAACAATTGATACCATGTGGATGGAGCCTGATACGGACAGTGAACTAGATAAAGTTGCCGCTGAAAGAAAATTGCAATTTATAGTAAGTAAACCAGAAAACTGTTATTTCTGTTTTTTTTTCTTCAAGTTTTAGTTATAATACAGGTCCCTAGAAGACTTATGTATTGTGTTTTCTATTCTTTTTAGTTCGGTTGGTATGCCAATCCTATTATAAACGGCGACTACCCATCGCAAATGAAGCAATTTATCGCAAAAAGAAGTATTGCGCAAGGTTTCAAACACTCCCGTTTGCCGCAATTCACATCAGATGAAGTTAAATACATCAAAGGAGCTATTGACTTTTTGGGAGTAAACCAGTACACATCAATGTTAGTACGGCACATGGACGATAAGAATAAAACCGAAATATCGTGGGAAGCTGACTCAGAAACGTTTCTTTACCAACCAGATAATTGGGAATCAACTGCTACAGACTGGTTGAAAGTCACTCCATGGGCGTTAAGGAAACTTTTGAACTGGATCAAACACACCTACGGAAATATTCCTCAGATTATTACTGAAAATGGATACTCGGATAACGGAACAACCTTGGAAGACGACGGAAGAATCAATTATTATAAGGTAAGAATGTTTGCAACTATCTATGTAGTTCTTTCAAAGTATTTTTACTCTGCATGAAATTTAAATGATTCATTCATTATTGAAATGATTAAGTGGAATTGGAATAGTTTAAAACAATACTTTTTACTGAAACACAAAGATGTGGCTGCTTCAGTTTCACTGCAATTACACTAGTTTTTTAACTAGTAGTCAATAAATTTAGTCTATGTAATTACTAATGGCATACTGTAGACTAATCTTTTTTGTTATTGGATGAATTTCTTCTACTGTTCGTTAATGCGCTATGTAACCGAACTAGTATTTTGGTACTATTTAAAGATTTTCTAATAAAAAGGGGAACACTGGCAGTACGGCTCAATACAGATAGAACATGAGTTCTGCGTAACTCTAAATGAAATATAGAGAATGATCAGACAACAAAGGACAAAATAGGTCCCTCTTGGCTAAAGGTGGCGATAATGAATCACCAATACCAAATCTAACGACAAACGAAGAATTAAACATTAGGGAGGGAGAAGTAAAGGAAGCATTAAAAAAATAAAACATAGAAAATTACCAAACAACTATTAAAGCTAATCCAAACAAATAATAGAACAAAACATAATACCACCAGAATAGAGATCAAGCATCCTAATGCCTCTCTTCAAAAAGGGAGACAAATCGGACCCGGATAATTACACAGGAATTAATTTAACAACACTTAAATTAACAACCAAAGTAATAACAAATACACTGTATGAAATTATAATATTAGCAGAAAAAAAACAAGATTTAGGGCGGAAACATGCGCAAGCGGAATGCAAGAGAAATCTGCAAGGTCATAGGAATAGTCAGAACGATCCAAAAAATATCTACCAGAACAACACAAAAAAGTAAAAGTATAATCAGAACTTAAAGACCTAATTGATACTGGCAATGGGGTAAGACAGGGGATCCTCTGGGCTTTGTATAGTTCAATCTGATCATGGATGAACTAATAAAAAAAAATAAGAACTAAAAAAGAATAATAAATGGAAAAAAACAAAATATTCTGCTATACAGATGACGCAATACTAATCTCTTAAAGTGAAGATGATTTACAACGTATGTTGCACCAATTTAATATAACCGCCAGAAAATTTAACATGTTAATTTTTCCAAAAAAAAACAAAATGCATCGTTTGCATAACAGCAAATCTACTAAGATGTAAGTTAGGGCTGGAAATCCAACAACAGAAAAAGTTATGGAACTTAAATATCTGGGCATCACACTATTTAGCTACAGAAAGCTCGACACAGAACTAGAAGATCAAGTGATTAGAGTAAACAAAGCCGCAGATATTTTTTCATGCAGCCCGCATGAAACAATAAGGTGAAATAAAAATATCGGAAATAAAATAAAAGGCAGAACTTACAAAAACAGTCATCAGACCAATAATGAAATACGCAGCAGGAACACTTGATACTGAGAGGACAAAAATAATGCTAGGAACAGCAGAGATGAAAACCCATGGAAAAATCGATAGTAAGACACTAGGGGACAGAGCTACAAGTACAGATATTCGAAAGAGATGCAAGATGAAGAACATCAATGATTAGGTAAGAAATAGAAGAGTATATTAAAACGATCATATTAGCCGAATGACAATACATGAAGTAGTGAAGACGACGAGAGACCCCGTAAAACGATCAATTAAAAGACCACGAAAACGACGGAACGACAACGTACTGGAGGTACATTGAGAAATGAACAAAAGGAGAATAATTTTTGGAACAGAAGCTTTTTGTGAAAGTTAGCAGAAGACACATTGGTCTTTAAGAGGTTATGTTTTTTAGGTTTTCTCAGTTTGGGAATACAGTAGGATGAAATGGTCAATCCTTCAGATACAATAATAGATTTGTGTTAAGTTCTACAGTGCAGTGACGATCCAATGTATTTTTATTGTTTTGTTTTCGCTATACTTTTGGTTGTCTTTCTTTATTTTATTGCCGTTATTTTGTTCCTTATATTCCATTTCTTTATTTTAAATTTTCTTCTGTTTTGGTTATTGCTATATTTTAACCTGTTTTATTACAAAAAGTCTTTAACACAAATTTTTTGCTTTTAGCAACATTTGAGTAACATCAGGGATGCAATCGATGACGGTGTCAATGTTATTGGATACACCACATGGAGTTTAATGGACAATTTTGAATGGTTTAGAGGATATCAGTAAGTACATATATGATTTTTGTTCTTATGATGTATTTACTTCCCTATGGTAAAAAAGTGTATTTTATATTACTTTGGTTTCAGTTTTTTTTATGCTGTTGCTAAATTTAATAGGAATAGACGGTACTTTCAATTAAAATTGCAATTTGTTTTCATTAAATAGAGTATGTAATATAAAAATGGCACAAGACAATATGTTTAGAACCATTTGACTTGAAATAGAAATAAAATAATGCTTATTTTAATATTTATATCATTTTACCGCAAAAATAATATATAATTGGAAGTTTTTATCGCATGAATGGATAATATAAACGAAAATGTTTACAATATTTTTCCAAACATGCGTCACGCTGAGGAACATCACTAGTGTTATCGTTTATTATATCAAATATTTCACAAAAAAGGGGGTCAGAACTTCATAAAACACATACTGTCGCGCCATTGGTCCACACCAAGTTAACTCGTTACGTCAGTTGGTGGATGTTGTCGATAACATCTCATTCAAGCGTTTAACTTACGGTGGATTTATATAAAGAGTTTTTATTAAAATATTAATAAAAAATGTTCAATTTTTAGATTTCATCAAAATTTTTCGATAAACAGGTAGTCAAAAATTTGCAAATTTGTACGGCACTTGCGGCGATACTTTATGCCGCAAATATTCACCCTTAATATAAAGTTTTATATAATCGTAAACATAAGATAGTTAAATCACATCATTTATTTTAAAAAAGTACCAAAATCAAATCCTCTTCCTTGACATTAAGTACACAATTTTGGCAAGTGGTAATCTTAATGTTATGCCTCTTAATTACTATTAAACTGGGAATAAGCCACAATTAAAGATAAAAATACGTTTATTGACGTTTCAATTTCCACTTCGGAAATCCGATCTCATGATTTCCGAAGTGGAAATTGAAACGTCAATAAACGTATTTTTATCTTTAATTGTGGCTTATTCCCAGTTTAATAGTAATTAATTTACAATGCCACAAGAAAATAGCTTCAGAACAATGTTATGCCTCTTACATACAAAATGTTTTCATATATTTTTGTCATCTTTGGCAATGGTCAAACCTCCTGGATTTCCATAGAATCCACATTTTGAAAATCTTCGTTTTCGGATAGTTCTAAGGTGCTGTTGTATAATTGTTTTAACCTCACCTTTCCCTTAATCGCTAAAATCCATTATATTCTCGACATCTGGCAAACTTTCAGCCAATTCGTCTTACTATGTGGCAAACATTTTTTAGTGTTTTTATACCTAGAATTTTTTTTCTTACAATTAATACTTTACTATCCCTACCTCTAAGATCTTAGGCTACCTTTTACCACAAAAAAACATTTTTAATAAATAAAAAGTAATAAAAACAGTAAGGGAAAACAGGAGTAGAAAGATAGTGTCTTAGAGAAGATGCCATAAAACGATTGGAGGCATTTGAAATGTGGTGCTATTGACGTTTGTTGATGGTCTCATATATACACCACACAAGTAACATAACTATTCTCCAAAGGCTAAGAAAAGACAAAGTAAATTATTAACACCACAAAAAACAGAAAATTGGATTACTTCGGCCATATCATGTGTAATAATAAATACTGACTTTTACAGTTGATTCTACAAGGAAAGATTGAGATAGAGACCCTGGACGTATACATATATCCTGGCTGTTCAATCTTATGGCTCCTTTACACATCGGCAGACGAGTCCGCGGACGACATCTACGTATTCATCTGGAGATGTGTAGATGGGCTAATTTGATCATCTGTTGTTTATATATTACGCGGATGCGTCTGCAATATATCCCATTGTTGTCGGTTTTTTTTAGCACAGATCAAATAGCAAAGATTAGATATTGCGTCTCCCGGGAATTAACACTGACTGAACGATTTACATATGTATCCAGATATGTGGTTAGCTTGTGATGATACATCTGCAGATGCGTCTGCCAATGTGTAGTTGAGGCATTAGGAAATGGACTGGTCTAACGTCTACTGATCTATTTCGAGCTGCTGTGAATAGAATAGTCAATGTGGTCGCCAATATCTCTAGAAGATAGGCACATTTAGAATACGAAGACAAAAAACAGATAAAGTTCACACTAACAACTAAATAAATCATATACCTACATACGCGGTATGTGCGTCTTAAGTAGTCCAATATAGTCATTTGAGAATAGCGGGACAAGCGGATAACTATTAATAACACTTTACTGAATCTTGAAATTAAAATTATAGTATAGTATAGCACAGTATGAAATTATAGTAAAAATGGGGCATACAGGACCGATAGCGCGCCCGTCGGAGGGTTACAAAAGTTCCAAAAACTTTTACACACCTTCACAAAACTGACGTACATCATTATATCCCACTTGGAAATGCATGATAACAAAGTTTTTATGGTTAAAAACCACGATTTATAGAAACTTATTCTTTCGAAGATATTTAATAAAAAATAATTTATTTTTGTGTATTCTTTTACAGAGAGAAATTCGGATTGTACCAAGTAGACTTTTCGTCACCGCAACGAACTAGAAGCCCGAAAAAGTCCGTCAGTTATTTCAAACATGTAGCAGAAACAAAATGTATCGTTGATGTATCGGACTGCGTTGTCGATGTAGACGAAATCGTTAGATATATCTATACAAATGTCGATAAAATTGTGTTATCGTAGAAAAACCAAACTAAGTTATTAAGTTATTTATTTTTTTAGTATTGTGATATACTTACAATGTTATTTATTTATTTATTTGTGTATAGTCCTACTGATGAAGTAATTTATAATAAATTATCGAACATTTGTACATTTTTTTTATTTTCTCCTTCAACTTTGATCTCCCAAACTTTAAAATTTGAAATTCGCAGACGACATAGTTTTGTTCTTGGACAACCTCAAGGAGATATTATGTACAATGCATGAACTTCAGTTAGTGTGTGCCAGTGTGGATCTTAAAAGAATCATCTTCAAAACAAAATTCATGATAAACCTAGTACCTAGCAGAAATATCAATATTGGAGACAACGAAGTAGAGCTGGTGGAAAAATACATATATCTTGGACACGAAATAAAGATCACAAGAGACAACCAAACATGCGAACTACGAAGAAGAATAAACCTAGCATGGGCAGCCTATGGAAAATTCAAAGACATATTTAAAAGTGATATACCAATTTCTTTAAAACGTAAAACATTTGACCAATGTGTACTGCCTGTGATGACTTATGGTGCCGAAACTTTGACATTGACAACTACAAGGTCTAAAACGCTGCAAATAGCTCAGAGGAAAATGGAAAGATCAGTGCTGAGTATATCGCTTTGTAACTGAGTTAGAAATGAAGACTTAAGACAAAGAACAGGAGTTACTGATGTAATTTCCCGAATTTCCACACTAAAATGGAACTAGGCCGTACACATCGCCCGATGTCAGTGATGAAAGGTGGACGAAGAGATTGCTTGAATGGAGGCCGAGGTTAGACAAAAGAAGTAGAGGAAGACCCCCTACACGTTGGACTGACGATCTCAACAACATGTCAAGAAATTTGATGAAAAGTGCTCAAGACAGAGCACAGTGGACAAAAATGAGGGAGGCTTACGTCCAGCAGTGGATGCAAAGGGCTGGGAGATAATGATGATGATCACTAAATTAGTGCCTTATAATCGACATGTGTGTTCTAAGGATATCAAAAACATAAACACATAGTTAACAATCATATCCAGATTTTTGTATTTGATAATTTTTTATTCCGGCAATCCTCTTGATGTTGTGATGTTGCCAGTCGGGCTAAAATATACATGATAAATATTATGTTTAAATGCAATTAAGCCACAGTTAATTATAATGAAAATTACATTTTTAGCCGTTGTTAAACGTTTCGATTTAAAACTCCAAAAACTGTTTTTAAGTCCCCAAAATCTAGCCTCCCAAGATACGAACTCCCCCTCCTTGGCTAATATCTTCTCCCCATATAAATTTGAATCTATTGTAAGAAAATAAGAAACAAACCAATCCTCATTTAATTTTTTCTAAATATCAAACCATAATTTCTCAATTTTTCTCCTTCAAAGTTATTCACAGATGACAGAAATGAAAACTAACGGAGAATCGGGCTATCTTAACAGCACAACTCTTTGCAATATATAAAACAATATGTCACGTTACACGAATCTACATCTTTAAAGTCTATTATTTTCATCCTCTGGCCAAACTTAATAGACGTGAATTGCACAATCTAAATCAGAGAGACATTGCTTTCCTGTGGGTGCCACCTCATACTGGAATCACGGGAAAGGATCTGGCAGATAAATATGCACGAGAAGTCTTAGAGGACATAACTATTGAGGTCTATGCTGACATATGAAATAGTAGATGGCACAAAAAGCAGGCGGAATTACTTAAAATAAAATCAACAGTTTAACCATGAATTAATAGTTCCACCAATCATCTTCTCAGGTGATTATCACGCGACTACGCTTGGTTATAATTACCTTATGCATGGGAATCTGATGACACGAGCTCCCTAACTGGAGTATTATGCTTGTGAGACCTTGCTAGCCATGAAACACCTTCTAGTGGAGTGTCCATTACATAGTGCGAAAAGAGGTGAATTTGGAATCCCGGAGAATTTTAAAGAACTATTTTTAATGTACGATGCCAAAGTGATTATTTAATATTTCAAATCAATAACCATTTAAAAAAAATTTCATTGTAGTACTATTCTATGGATGTTAAAAATTTTTTTCTTTCGCTAATAGCCATATGGGCTGATACAAGTAAATAAAAAGAGTCTTCAACTATTTTAAGGATTTCCTCTTTGTTGGTTGCAATATGATCATTTCTATATTTCCGTGCCTCGGAGGTAAAGGACACTATGTCCATTTTCTTACTTTTTAAGGAGAGCAGTTTTAACATTTTTTAAATTTGTAATCAGTAAATACTCAAATGTTTCTGATATTTAACCAAAATTAATATAATATATTAATTACTAAATTAAAACTGCTCTCCTTAAAAAGTAAGAAAATGGACATAGTGTCCTTTACCTCCGAGGTACGGATTTAATCTTTATTAACCGCCTTGTGCCCCTTCTTAGTATTTTTTTCAATACTTCTATTGTTCTCAATGGTATGTTCGATTTGTTCTTAATTATATTTTCGAGTGCCTTGTCTAACAGCTTTGGATATTTCTTTATTTAATTTTTATAGTTCGTCGGCTTTAGTTTCCGTCTCGCTTCTTCTTTCTCTTATTTTTCTTCATTAGTTGACTGGTATTTTGGGTAATCTTCTTATATTTTTGAGTTCTAGGAGAGACTTTGTTTGGACTTTCCAGTAAGGCATTTGTTAATTTATTATTAAAGTCATTTATTTTCTGTTTCAGGACTACTAAGTATATCTTAAATACATTGCTGAAAACTATCTACATCTTATGGTTTCATCCAAGGTTTTGATTTGTTCTTCTTTTGTATCATTCTATACCTCTCCTTCTTTAAGCTTATTTTTATTTTACCTCGTACTACCATTCTATGATCGCTACTGGTGACAAATATGTTTAAAACCGTGATAAACCGTCTTAAGATGTGTTTTTTGTCCGTGATAATAAAATCTATTTCGTTTTGAGTTTTTCCATTAGGACTTTACCATGTCTATCTTCTCTGTGGTTTCTAAAAAAATAATAAAACCTAATATTGTTGTAAAATATAAATACACCAGTTTTTAACATAAATTTTTCAGAAAATTACATTTTTTAAATTAATAACACTTAAAACTGTGACCTGCTTTAGGAAATTCGATTGGCGCCACTGGTATTATAAATAACCTTCACAACTACACACCTTCTTACTGATTGTTATTTTCAACACCAATCATATGCTGTGAATTATTAAATTATGCGTATGTGGTCGCATTTAACTGGCTTTTAGTTACAGGCCCACCATTTTATTTAAATACAGATGAATAAGTGGGCAGATCTTTAAAATTTTAAAAACAAAAATCAGGAAATAGGTGTTCTATACTATAATCCCAGATTTTTTAAACAAATGCTCTAAAGATCAAATATTACCATGAAAAGAAAATACTGGATAAAACGTAACGATCTAAGCGTTTTTTAAATTAAATATTATTTTTTTCTGCGATGAAGATAGCAAATTCTCTCTCATTTAAGTCATATTGTTTATTTAAATTCTGTTTATTTTAACATGCTGTTATAAAGAATTCCCACTTATTGGTACAACAGCTTCGAGTAGAGGTGGTCATCAATGTAAGAGTACTTTTTTGTCTGGGATTAAGAAACTGGCCTCAAACATGCCCTGGAACTAGTGAAATCGAAATTGACGGAGCCATGATGCCAAAGTGAGCCAAATATATTTTTCCATAGTAAATAAATAGAGTCGGTCAGATAGCCAAGCGGGTCAGGCGGCCGATTCTCATTCGCTTCACTGTTGAATGGTTAAGTGAATGTCGGTTCAAGCTCTGGCTCGGTGTACAGAAAAATAAAAAAGGCTAACGCAGCAGTTTAAATTGTAAAACGAATATGCGGCTTAGACTAGAATATGGTGTCTGATCATCATATGGTGGGCAGATAAGAGATAAGGTCTTGCAGCTCGGTGATACTCTAAATACTCCTAAATACCGGTATATATATATATACATATATATATATATATATATATATATATATATATATATATATATATATATATATATATATAGACACTGCAAACAAGAGACATAAGCAGAGACTGGAAAATATAATATATATAAATGCATACGGCAGGTATGCATTTATAAATTAAATATACGCACTTATTTTTATAAAAATAACTTTAAAGTCAATCTAATGGAAAAATTGTCTGCACAACTTCCAAGAGTGTTCACAAGGTTATGTCATTGATTTACTTTTGCCCACGGTGTCATAGGAAACAGCCACATTTGGTTAAAAAGATGTGATAGTGTGTGTTTTCCCAGTCGAAAGTGTTCAGAATTGTTAATATGTACTGTTCATGTTTGTATGTGTGTAGAGTATTCCTGTTTAGTGAACGTGTGATGTATTGCATATGTATTGTGCATGCTAGAGAATGATGTGTATACAGGGTTTCTGATTCCGCTATTGTTGGTATATTTTTGTTGGTGACTTCTTCTTTAAGGATTGGCAATTAAAGTCGGCCACATTCTGCTGTTAGGTTTGCTACACATTTTTCTCTAAGAAGCGGAAGCTGTCATATACAAAAACTTTACAGTTGACTATCAAATTTCCAATACAATTCTCTTTACTGTATTCACCATTCACATTAATTTATGCACACACAATTAGTTATAATTACACTACAGGACATTATAATTCCTACCAGTGGTGTATAAGATAAATTTCTTTTCTTTACAGTTTATTTTTCAACCGTTTAATTGTCAACTCACTTACTTTCTGGTATTATCACATTTTAATTTCTGTCTTTTTCTAAAATCAGCTTCCAATTTTACCGATCAATTTAATTTTAATAGTAAATTCATAAAATATAAAGAAAAAGGTCTAGTTAATAATAAAAATAATTACTGCTGTCTCAATTTAAATAAACTGATCTAATAAAAATTTATATAGAATTCAACATATGGGCCCTTGACCTGGTTTATTTTAAAAAAGAATGTACTATCGATCCTTTTCCAAATGCCATTGTCACTAAAAACAGTCAATTATTACTTCCGGCATCTTCGATTAGTTACCATTTAACATTCCCACAGTTCAGATGTAGAAAACTCTTTTAAAGTAGGGACTTATGTTCCCTGTTGGCAATCTAATGTTTTCGGAATACTG